TGCGACAGGACTGAAGGAAGGATGCCATCGCAAAAAAAAAATGATGTCGTTTATTATGCATTGAATCAATTGAACCCATTGAATTGCCGATGTCAAGTCAAACAAGTATTGGTCACCATAAGCAAGCACAAAAACTGGTACCTTCAGGTAGAAGTAGTACACTTCATGGGAGAGACTTTCAGTTCCCGGCTTTCTGATAGTAACAAAAGTGCCCAAGAATCGGACTTCGTAGCAGAAATGGAAGAGCGGAGGAAGGTGGGGCTGAACTCCACCATCAATCTGGTATGGAGGTTTGATCCTGACGTCCACAGCACATCTGCAACCCCCTGATCCAATAGTTTCTTCATGTCGCTTCAGTCCTGAGAGGTGCACATAATATTCCAAAGCAAGCACAGAAAATCAGGCCTCACCCATCGCAACTTCCCTGTGCTTTTATTCTTTTGCTCGGCATGGCCCTGATGCACCTGCCATAGCCAAACAGCAAAACAAAGGTCATGGATTTCAATGGATGTTGGTTGGTTTCGATTGGCAAATTGGTGTGCATCCAAAAAATATCAACAAATCCTGGACTATTGCTTGGATTCGCACGTGTCGCCTGGCTGAAATTCTTGACCTCTCGAAGCCCCAAGTTCACCTGGCTGTCACAGTCACTTTTGCATCCAGGATGTCCAAATCGCCGAAAAAACGAATCTGTCTGAAAATAGGGTACCCGCAAATCCGTTGCTTAATGTATCATTATCCCCAATAAAGTGATTACTTGGGGGACACACCCAAATGTAGTTCTTGAAACAAAGATAATCAAAGGATTAATGAGGACAAAATTGTGTCCGTGCGCATAGCCGCATAGCCTATTTCTATTTTGGGTGAAGTTTACAGCCTGGGTCTCCCAACTGAGTCAGGGCGAGGCGTTTGGCTGAAGTTGGTGTTCAATGCATGCTGCTCAGATTGATTGAAGCTTTGCCAAGACCTGAAAAGAAGATGTGAGAAACGTCGACGCATCGCTCAAAGCTTGCGAACCATGGCTGAAAAATCAAAGTAGCATCAGATGACCATTCCATACTATTCCAATGTTCAATCCTCTTTGGCTCCATAGCTCTCAGGCACCAGCCGGTCACTCCAGAACTGAAAATCCAACATCGACTTCCACTTCTATTGGCGAGCGCATGCCACATTCCGGCTTGAGCAATGACATTGCAAGGTGCAGCATAAGTTGAGACACACCACATTATTGGAAATGCTATGCCCCGATCATTCACGATCGACTAGAGTGTCTCGAGTATTCGTTTTGTGCAGCTTCATCTAAGATGTCTTCTGCGTAGCACCCTGGAAGCAATCTTAAAATATGGTCCCCCAATTCCAACAAATTAATTTTCAGCATTTTTCCTGTTGAAATGGCCATAGCTGGGGGGTATCCACTATTTTCCGACACACCCAGTTATCATATCGTTGGTTGGTTCTACCCCATGATATCCCATTGAATCACCATCCTTAATCCTTAATGGTTGAACCACCATCCTCAATGGTGAAACCAGCATCTTTAGTGGTCAAGTCTCAATCTCAGTAACAACAAGGCGTTCCTACCATGGCGGATCCGTGCCTCAATGCGAGACAACTTCAGCAGCGTACTCACCTGATCGATCTGAAGGATCCGGCTGTGAAATCCCTGAACTGAGTGGAGGTTTTAATGGGAAAAGCATCGATGGTGAGAAAATCTTCAAATGGGAACATCCACTTTGCCCACGCGTCATGAGTTAATGTCAGACTTAGTTCCTCTTCTCATCTAATTATCGAGGTCTTGCAAAAACTTCTACCAGTGTCCTGGACATTGTCCACTTGCAATGCTACAGTTGTTGAGCCAAAAGACAAGTGCATGAACAGTGAACAGCGAAAAATTGTTCATGTTTCGTCCCTGGAAAGATTCAAATTCCAGCAAATGCTTGCCTTAATGTGATGCTGCGTCCCTTCTCCACAATCGACTAGAATTATGCCTCCTGGCAGTGTCACAGACTGATCAGCTCTGACTCACTGTGAATTGGTTTGCTCAGGGCATGTTAATCGCCTGTGTCCAGCATTACGGCAAGACTCGACCTCACTCTTCAAATCAAGCGCGTGCAGAAGCACGATGTAACCAAACTCATCCAAACCCCAAAGCTGTCAAGCCAAAGCTTTTCAAAAGGGCAAGGCCTGGTCTTGAGGCCAATTGGCAGCATGACAAATTTGAGGTCGGCACATGTTCCGCTGGCCTGGCTCCGGCAAAACGTTTGCAGGTCTATCAAGAATCATTAAACTCAAAGGGATCCGTGGCTCACGACTTAATCGACTTACAAAGGCATTCCGAAATTCCCGATACAGTACCTTTTAAGATTGTCCACCAGTTCACCGCCATACCGCTGCCGGGTTAGTTGCATGCTTACTTACAGTCCATGATTTGGCAACTTGCCATTTAGGCCATTTCCTTCCTGCCACAAGCTTCATTCCGAAAGCATCCCTTGGTGACTTGCCTGGCACTGGCACAGCTGAGCCGGTGCCCAAGAAAACCACCCTCTCCATGCGCGCCATGCTGCGCTTGCACGCCCGCCCAGCTGCAGCCCCTGGTCACACCATGGGTTTGGAAGAGGTTGCCACTTTCCTATACGGAAAGTTGTGGAGGTTTATATATGTTCATCTTTTTCGATTCAATGTTATCAGTATCTAGATCAGACAACTGCAGACAGTGATTTTCAATACCATGCTCTCTCTTTCGACTACGAGACCTCTTGCATGAGGGGCTGAGAATTTTCCAACTTTGCTATCGCTATCGGATGCAGGTTTGAATTTTCATCAGCAAATATCAGCAGTCATGACTGCTAGAGAAATTCCTTCAGCCACCCACTATCAGATTCTGCCCATCCTGCAGCTACAAGTAGCGTTGGAGCCTCAAATTTGGCTGGGCATGTTTGGCCACACCATGAGTTGACGTTTGGATGGTTGAGCGAAGGATGCAAAAAAACATCTCTCAAAAAGTCCGTCCGGCCCAAGACTACAGAACTCAAATTCAAACCACATTGTAGTATATCCTGTGTGGATGCACTTTATATTATAGCATGATTAGATCACATGCTGATCACAGTTTGATCTGTGTTGGACCATGGTGCCTCTTTGTTCCTGAGTTGCGAACTGCTCGCTGCAGGCAACGGTTTGAAGGCAGCCAGTGACGCCGGGGACCTAAGTTTTCTAAGTGGTTCAAACCAAGCAATTTGAGCAACTTTGACGATCCATCTTCCAGTGGCACTTTTTGCAATTTTTGGGATGGGTCAAAACCAGTAATGAACTAGTTTGAAGCGATGAACACTCATTTACCAGCTATGTGCAATGTTCATGAGCCTGGTTTTGGATCCATAGCCATGTCGGGATGGAATCCTAAGCTTAGGATCCTGCACATCCATTGGAATTCTCACGGCCACGGTCTATTGATTTCCGATTTATTTCTCAATTTATTCCCCTATTTATGTCCCTTTTTATTTCCCTATTTGTTTCCCAATTTATGTCCCTATTTATTTCCCAATTTATTCCCCTATTCATTTCCCAATTTCTTCCCCTATTCTTTTCCCAATTTCTTCCCCTATTCATTTCCCAATTTCTTCCCCTATTTATGTCCCTTTTTATTTCCCTATTTATTTCCCAATTTATGTCCCTATTTATTTCCCAATTTATTCCCCTATTCATTTCCCAATTTCTTCCCCTATTTATGTCCCTTTTTATTTCCCTATTTATTTCCAAATTTATGTCCCTATTTATTTCCCAATTTATTCCCCTATTCATTTCCCAATTTCTTCCCCTATTTATGTCCCTTTTTATTTCCCTATTTGTTTCCCAATTTATTCCCCTATTCATTTCCCAATTTATTCCCCTATTTATGTCCCTTTTTATTTCCCTATTTATTTCCCAATTTATGTCCCTATTTATTTCCCAATTTATTCCCCTATTCATTTCCCAATTTCTTCCCCTATTTATGTCCCTTTTTATTTCCCTATTTATTTCCCAATTTATGTCCCTATTTATTTCCCAATTTATTCCCCTATTCATTTCCCAATTTCTTCCCCTATTTATGTCTCTTTTTATTTCCCTATTTATTTCCCAATTTATGTCCCTATTTATTTCCCAATTTATTCCCCTATTCATTTCCCAATTTCTTCCCCTATTTATGTCCCAATTTCTTCCCCTATTTATGTCCCTTTTTATTTCCCTATTTATGTCCCTTTTTATTTCCCTATTTATTTCCCAATTCATGTCCCTATTTATTTCCCAATTTATTCCCCTATTCATTTCCCAATTTCTTCCCCTATGTATGTCCCTTTTTATTTCCCTATTTATTTCCCAATTTATTTCCCAATTTATTCCCCTATTCATTTCCCAATTTCTTCCCCTATTTATGTCCCTTTTTATTTCCCTATTTATTTCCCAATTTATGTCCCTATTTATTTCCCAATTTATTCCCCTATTCATTTCCCAATTTCTTCCCCTATTTATGTCCCTTTTTATTTCCCTATTTATTTCCAAATTTATGTCCCTATTTATTTCCCAATTTATTCCCCTATTCATTTCCCAATTTCTTCCCCTATTTATGTCCCTTTTTATTTCCCTATTTGTTTCCCAATTTATTCCCCTATTCATTTCCCAATTTATTCCCCTATTTATGTCCCTTTTTATTTCCCTATTTATTTCCCAATTTATGTCCCTATTTATTTCCCAATTTATTCCCCTATTCATTTCCCAATTTCTTCCCCTATTTATGTCCCTTTTTATTTCCCTATTTGTTTCCCAATTTATGTCCCTATTTATTTCCCAATTTATTCCCCTATTCATTTCCCAATTTCTTCCCCTATTCATTTCCCAATTTCTTCCCCTATTTATGTCCCTTTTTATTTCCCTATTTATTCAATTTATGTCCCTCTTTATTCCCAATTTATTCCCCTATTCATTTCCCAATTTCTCCTTCCCCTATTTTATTCCCTTGTTTATTTCCCTATTTATTTCCGCAATTTATGTCCCTAATTTATTTCCCAAAGGTATTTATTTCCCTATTCATTCCCATTGCTTCCCCTATTTATGTCTCTTTATGTCCCTATTTATCCCAATTTAGTCCCTATTTATTTCCCAAGTTATTCCCCTATTCATTTCCCAATTTCTTCCCCTATTTATGTCCCTTTTTATTTCCCTATTTATTTCCCAATTTATGTCCCTATTTATTTCCCTTTCTGTTATTTCCCCCCTATTTATGTCCCTTTTTATTTCCCTATTTATTTCCCAATTTATGTCCCTATTTATTTCCCAATTTATTCCCCTATTCATTTCCCAATTTCTTCCCCTATTTATGTCCCTTTTTATTTCCCTATTTATTTCCAAATTTATGTCCCTATTTATTTCCCAATTCATGTACAGCCCCCCCCCCCCCCCCCCCCCCCCCCCCCCCCCCCCCCCCCCTCCCCCCCCCAATTTATTCCCCTATTCATTTCCCAATTTCTTCCCCTATTTATGTCCCTTTTTATTTCCCTATTTATTTCCCAATTTATGTCCCTATTTATTTCCCAATTTATTCCCCTATTCATTTCCCAATTTCTTCCCCTATTTATGTCCCTTTTTATTTCCCTATTTATTTCCCAATTTCTTCCCCTATTTGTCCCAATTTATTCCCCTATTTATTTCCCAATTTATGTCCCTATTTATTTCCCAATTTATTCCCCTATTTATTTCCCAATTTATTCCCCTATTTATTTCCCAATGTATTTCCCCATTTCTTTCCCAATTTATGTCCCTATTTATTTCCCAATTTATTCCCCTATTTATTTCCCAATTTAGTCCCCTATTTATTCCCCTATTTCTTTCCCAATTTATTTCCCTATCTATTTTCCAATTTATTCCCCTATTTATTTCCCAATTGATTTCCCAATTTATTCCCCTATTTATTTCCCAATTTATTTCCCAGTTTATTTCCCTATTTATTTCCCAATTTATTTCCCAATTTATTCCCCTATTTATTTCCCTATTTATTTCCCTATTTATTTCCCAATTTAGTCCCCTATGTATGTCCCTATTCCCTATTTATTTCCCTATTTATTTCCAAATTTATTCCCCTATTGATTTCCCATATTATTTCCCTATTTATTCCCCAATTTATTTCCCTATTAATTTATTTCCCGATTTATTCGCCAATTTATTCCCCTATTTATTTCCCTATTTAGTTCCCTATTTATTTCCGTATTGATTTCCTTATTTATTTCCCAAATTATTTCCCAATTTATTCCCCTATTTATTCCCCTATTTATTTCCCAATTTATTCCCCTATTTATTATTATTTATTTCCCTATTTATTTACCTTTTTTCCCCCTATTTATTTTCCTATTTATTCCCCTATTTATTCCCCTATTTATTTCCCAATTTATTTCCCAATCTATTTCCCAATTTATTCTCCTATTAATTTCCCAATTTATTTCTCTATTTATGTCCCTATTTATTCCCCTATTTATTCCCCTATTTATTTCCCAATTTATTCCCCTATTTATTATTATTTCCCTATTTATTTACCGTTTTTTCCCCCTATTTATTTTCCAATTTATTCCCCTATTTATTCCCCAATTTATTCCCCTATTTAGTTCCCTATTTATTTCCCGATTTATTTCCCAATTTACTTCCCAATTTATTCCCCTACTTATTTCCCTATGTATGTCCCTATTCCCTATTTATTTCCCAATTTATGTCCCTATTTATTTCCCAATTCATTCCCCTATTTATTTCCCAATTTATTCCCCTATTTATGTCCCAATTTATTCCCCTATTTATTTCCCAATTTATTTCCCTATTTATTTCCAAATTTATTCCCCTTTGTATTTCCCAATTTATTCCCCTATTTATTTCCCAATTTATTTCCCCATTTCTTTCCCAATTTATTTCCCTATTTATTTCCCAATTTATTCCCCTATTTATTTCCCAATTTAGTCCCCTATTTATTCCCCTATTTATTTCCCAATTTATTTCCCTATCTATTTCCCAATTTATTGCCCTATTTATTTCCCAATTTATTCCCCTATTCATTTCCCTATTTATTTCCCTATGTATTCCCCTATTCATTTCCCAATTTATTCCCCTATTTATTTCCCAATTTATTTCCTAATTTATTCCCCTATTTATTTCCCAATTTATTTCCCTATTTATTTCCGTATTTATTTCCTTATTTATTTCCCAAATTATTTCCCAATTTATTCGCCAATTTATTCCCCTATTTATTTCCCAATTTATTCCCCTATGTATTATTATATTTATTTACCGTTTCTTCCCCCTATTTATTTTCCTATTTATTCCCCTATTTATTCCCCAATTTATTCCCCTATTTATTCCCCTATTTATTTCCCAATTTATTTCCCAATCTATTTCCCAATTTATTCCCCTATTAATTTCCCAATTTATTTCTCTATTTATGTCCCTATTTATTCCCCTATTTATTTCCCAATTTATTTCCCAATATATGTCCCTATGTATTTTCCTATTTACTCCCCTGTTTATTTCCCTAGTTATTTCCCAATTTATTTCCCTATGTATTCCCCTATTCATGTCCCAATTTATTCCCCTATTTATTTCCCAATTTATGTCCCGTGTTTTTTCCCCTATTCATTGTCCTATTTATTCCCCTATTTATTCCCCTATTTATCTGCCTATGTATTTCCATATTTATTTCCCTATTTATTTCCCTATTAATTTCACAATTTATTTCCCTATGTATGTCCCTATTCCCTATTTATTTCCCTATTTATTTCCCAATCTAGTTCCCTATTTATTTCCCAATCTAGTTCCCTATTTATTTCCCAATTTATTTCCCTATTTATTTCCCAACCTACTTCCCAATTTATTCCCCTATTTATTTCCCAATTTATTTCCCTATTTATTTCCGTATTTATTTCCTTATTTATTTCCCTTTTTATTTGGCTTATTTTTTCCCCAATTTATTTCCCCATTTATTTCCATGTGTATTTCCCAATTTATTTCCCTATTGATTTCCGTATTTATTTCCCTGTATGAATCTGTCCCATTTTGGGGTATCCGACTTTGATCTATTTACTCATATCATCTCATATCAATCCAGATCACATACCCATCCCCTAATATCATCTAATAATTAATATCACTTCCAAATCTAGGAACAATCATTTCTCATCATCCAAATCCCTCCAAATCCCCAGAAATCCCTCCAAATCCTCCATTCTCATGGGATTTCATGGGTCTGATGTCAACAGTCCTGAGCTCCTCAGCTCCCAACAGTGGCGTCTCACCCGCAGCACTTCCTTTGACACCGCTTGGCAGCGCAGCCGTGGCAGCGGCAGCCGTGGGACGTCCGCGCCAAAGAGGCCGCCATAGGCCATGGCCCATGTGGCAATGGTTCAACGTGGACTGCCGTGACTGAAGTGTTTGAAGTGGTTAAAGTAATGTTAAAACAGATATATATATATATATTATATATTATTGTATATATATATATATACATGAATATGAGTCTTAACAGTTGTTAGCTTTGTTTTTGTGTTAATATAGAAGGTATTTGATATGTCAATATGTTACCTGATGTTAGTATTGATGTTATGACTACGTTGATTGTGTTCCAAATTGATAGAGGATGCTTTTATAAATACATGTTGGTTTGATTGTGAAATGATTTGTGGAGATAAGATATGGACTTGGAACGAATTGGAGATATCTCCAGATATCCAAAGTTGCTCCCACCCAATCCCGACCATATCTGATGTATCTGATGCTGAAAAAATCTTGAAAAAGCTCTGCTTCCTAGGTGTGAATACCTGGTTTGCTGCAATTTGCGGCATAGTGAGCCTGTTATGTGCATGTTAGGTACAGTATATTCATGTATATTCTGTGTTGTACTCCGGTGAAACCTGATTTGTTACCGCCTCATACCACCCCAAATGAAAAGGTTCAATTCAATTCGACAGGATGCCACAAGCTCCATTCTTGTCAATCATTGTTGCTTTACTGGGCCGTTCTGGTACAGGTTCGGGCCAAGGGTCACCCCTGAGCACAGGCAACTGAGAGCTCTATGAATTATCTGCCTTGAACTGAATGAATCCTGTTTCCACCGAAGCAAATCAAAGTGCAACCAGCTTTCTGAACTGGCCTGACACAGCGTTGAATGCACGGCTCCGCCCTATAGACTCAACTTTCCCCTTGCCTTGTCTCCCTACGGTCTACGAATGGTCCATGGACTGATGGGATGGTTCTCTGGATGTTCTCCATTTCCTGTGACCTGGGCCGCCTGGGCCCCATCCTCAAAGCATCGGGCCTCTCGCACGATTCGAAGGAGCTTCTTCCGCTGCTTTTCACCTTAGCACCAGCTGCAACGAGCTCTGTTGCAAGCTTTTGAAGTAAGTACCGCAGGATCCGCATAATGGATGAAAAGGAAGCCAGGGAACAAAAACAGGTTGGTGCCCCAAAATTGGTCTGGCGTTCAACTGGTACAAATATGAATGTAGGCACAGGCAGGTCGCGTTTATCAAAGTCTCATCGATCTGAAGGGGGGGTTCTCCATCCAGATTCTGTTGGTTAATTTCTGCAATAAAATCGCAAATCAATGGCATCCACTTCATCTTGCAAGTGCACCGATGCAGAAGACCATCCCACAAAGCAAATTTCGACTGTGCAAATGCTGATTCCTTCCACTGCCAATTTGTACAGCCTTTTCTTGTGAATCTTTCATCATCTTTCAATGTATTTGGCTGCCCTTATAACATCTGCTTGGTTTCTATCTATACTATATACCTTCCCTAAACATCTAGCACAAAAAACAGGACATATGATATCATTGTGATTCATTGTGTATGATATGGATCATGCCATAAAGTATCATAAAATTATAAAGCGTCGCTCCACCCATGCTACCTCCGTCTTTCTTGGCTCCACTGCTGAACTGTGCAGCAAATCCTTCCAGCTTGGACTCACCAAGCCTGGATCTGAGGATCTTCAAATCTGTTCCCATCGGGCAGGCTCTGGGCTTTTCAAGCCCTCTTTAACGACATTGAAGGACGTACAATGCCCTGCCAGAATCCTTTGGAATAAAATGAAGCGTGATCTCCAGCAATTCACCCCCGTGCCTTAGGGCAAAAAGGCCAATGCCCTTCGAAGTCTCCTGCAAAAAGAGATCCCTCCAAATCCCGACCCCAGATTCTGCACATCTCACAGTGGACAAGTTGGATTTGTGGCACCTCATCGGTCATGTCGGTTTTGTACACATCCACGAGGACCCCGAATAGCTTTGGGACGTTTTGGCCTGTCAGGTCTACCAAGAATTACCATGCGGTCAGGGGTGTGAGGAACATGTCAACTTCAAGTGACTACTCTGAAAAGCTATTGCGTTCACATGCGTTCACCACTTTTAATGCAACAATAGCATACAAAAGCCTCCTTCGCCAACTACTTCTGGCTTCTCCTGTGAAAACAAGCTGTTTGAAAACATGTGGAGTTCTGTAAAATCTGCCTGTCTCAGCCTATCGCAAAGACAGCATAGTGGCAGCCAAACAATTTCAAACAAATGATCAAAAGACTTCTGCAGTGGACCCTTTCGCGTAAGATGCATCAGGAGTGTAGAAAAAACTCAAAGAAGCCCTTCAAGCCACTCCTGCTGAATGAGTTCCAGCAGCTTCTTGTGATTTCGCTCGCCTTCACTGTCATCCTCTTGACACGGCCTCGGGTTTCAGGCCTGTTGGTATCATCCTGACTTCACAAAAATCCGCCCTGGCACTGACCCTGGGCACCGAAGCAATCCGCCGAGCCAAACCTGCCAAAGCTGGGCCTGAGCCAAGGGTTCGTGTCGTGCCATCCAAATGTCTCTCGCACTAGCACTGGGTAGATGATACACCTACAGTACCTACAGCCTCTGGTTTCGGTACGTTTTTGGATCTCGAGGTCTGAAGCTAAGTTTCTGGTTTGTCTTCTGCGGGTTCTTAAACAATACATATGCGAATCACGAGTTTGATGATCTTTTTGTGCCAAAGCCTCTTTACTGGATCGGGTATTTCAAAGCCTGTCAAACCACTTCTTCACGCGACTTCTTCAGTGTCCCAACAAAGCTTTTTCGTATGTGTTCGTGATACGCTCTTGTGACCTATCATAGATTCATAGCATTTCATAGCGATGGCCAAATGCATCGAGCCGAAACTTGGAAGCCGACCTTTATTGATGCCACAGCTTGCGAATGAACTGTGAGGATCTCAATCTAAGTTGAGGTGCAGCCAGATTCGATCGCAGTGTGCAAAATGCTCCGCAACAAACGGACGGGGTCAGCATGCAAACACTGTTCAATATTGTTTCTTCGTAAAAGGCTTGTCTGAGGGGTCAAAATGGTTGCCATTTGTTCTTGAGCGACGTTCTGATTCCACGCCAGTACTGGTGCAAAAACTAACGGCCCACTTCACAGTAGTTTCCACAAGTCTGCCCAAAATCGAGCGATGCCATAGGGCAGCCTTAAATTTGCTGAGGTCCCAACAATTGCTGACAGCGCATTGTCGGCACAAGCCTCCCAGCTTCTTCATGCACAAGCCCCACATGTGTAGTATACTCTAGGTTCTCTAGGTACTGGTATACTGCGCAAGAAGATTGCCATCTCATTCAAAGACAAAAATGATACTAAGCAGCCAACAGCAAACAGCGGTAATGGATCCCATCCAGTGACCAACACTTCGGAAATTACACATCTCAACAAAATTCAACAAATACAAAGTATAATTCTTATAACATCTTTATTACAACTTACAACTTAAGATTGCTATAGATTGCTTACGATGATAAAAGCGACCAAAACTGTTGGATTTCTTGCCCCTTTGCAGTTCCCCCATCTTCTGTTCCCAAATCATCCCAGACGCCTGGGCGATTTTTTCCGACTTCTTTTTGCTCCTCTGCCTGGACTGTGTCACTACCTGGGAGAGGCCATTGGCCACCTCCAAGGCCAAGGGAGCGAAGTCCTCGGGCCGAATCCACAACGACAAAAGACCTTGTGGGGGGCAACATGGGGCAACTTTCCAGGCTTCTGTGGAAACATTTTGGCCCACAGTTTTTTGGTCTCATGGTTTCATATGGTTTCTGTATGTTTCTGTGAGATCAAAGGATATTGATATTGTGTGATTCTCAAGTGGGCTCTTGATCTGGCAACAGAGCGGCATCTTAACAAATACTCGCTTTGGTCAAATCACCATGCAGTCTAAAGACTAAGGGTGGTCCAAATTTGAGGACATTCGGCAACCAAATAGCTGCAGAACATTCACATCATTGAATTGATACCAGTCGATAAAATCATGGTGGAAGGAATGGCAGAGAGTACGTCCACTGCTCTCAAAGCAAAAAAAAGTTAAGTGCGTCAGAGTCAACATACCACCAAAACGGCCCTGGCCAGAATAATATGTGGTTCTCAAATCACGGGCTGTAGCTGACTTTGGGTGCCCCGCAGGTACCTTCGCCGCCAAGAAGGCGCCGTAGCACCTCAGATCAAACCACGTATCGCTCAGCCCATGAATGGGGGAACCCTCCTGGGGTGCCAACGCTACCTGCCGCAAGTGAGGATCTGGGTTGTGGATGTCCTGGCGATAGAAATTACTCAGAAGCGCATGGGGTATGAGAAATGAGAATATCAGTGTAGCATCAAATCTCCGTGTGTTTTATCGTAGTTTTGCGATCATTCATCGTTGAATATGTTGAATTTGGGGGGTCCATGATTTTCAGTCAGTACAGTATTACATGAAAATCATCGAAAACAAAATATCGCAAGCATATTGCCATTGTTGCCTCAACGAGCTTCGGCACAAACTGAGGCCAGAAAGATGTGACCTGCAATGATTCTGGAGGTTTTGGGCCCCTGGAAACTCTGGCAAATCCTTGCAACAGCAAACTGCCCCTCTTGCGATCCAAGGCCCTGGCTCTTTGTCCCAAATGCTCCAGGATGTCACATATCACCATCCTGAGCCGCTAACCCATGGATGGAATCCCGTGTCCAAGGGTGAAGTCCGTCCCGGTCCCAGCGAAACGGAGCACCTTCTGAGAAAGCCGCAGGGCGAGTTTTCGGTCCTCCTTCACAGCTTGTGGCTGCAGGCACTGAAGCACCTGGCCAATCGAACCAGGCCCTTCCTGAGTTTCATTGATTTCGCATGCAGGAACCATGAGGAAAGACATGAAAAGACAACCATGGCCGGGAGACCAGATTGAGGTAGTCTGGAAAACTCTCCTTGACGAAAAGGTCCGCATGGTGCCTGAGCCAGCTGAGGCACATCCTCAACAAATCCATATTTGCAGCATCCGCAAAAATCATTGGATATATTTGGATGCCCAAAAAGCCCAATAAAATATACAAAAATACTTTGGTTGAATATAGTTGGTTAGTGTTGGCTATAGTTTACGAATGTTTACGGCTCTACGACCAAACAAAAGAGCTTGACATTGCTATAACGGATGCTTTGCTATCAGTTTTTCTGGGTCTTCAATTCCACGAGCGCCGTCTGATCCGTCTGGGCCGCAGGCTGCATCAGTGGCCCGGCCACGTCGCACATGGCTTGCCTCACGGCCTGAGTCTGGTCACCACATAGATTTTGGTCATGCTCATCACCAATAACTGCTACACAATTACTACATATTATTACCAATAATTACTGCTACATATTCCCACTATTCATACCGCTGATAAGTGCGATTCTTTACAGTAACCCCTACAATCCCCTACAACTGGGCTTTTAACTGTGGGAAACCGGGGTTTTTCCATCCCTATTGGCCAATGTGGCACGGCAGCCATCCTGGATGACCGCCAGTCGCCTGCTCATCTTCCTCATCGTCGTCTTCGTGCTCGTCACCGTCCTGCGAGGAGATCACACTGACAGTCCACTGCAGTTGTCAGTTTCCCAACCGACATAAATTTGAGGGATGATAGCTCAAAACATAATGTCATAAGATAGCATTTTTTAAATAATTATAGAATAATTATAGAATACCTAGATCACTGGATTCTTGCTAGCCTATTGGCCTTCTCAAAAATGGCTCGACATTGGCCTCGTCGTGGTGACTTGGACGTCCCTTGGCGGCTTCGGCTCGGCGCTTGAAGGATTCCGCTGTGACGGCCAGGGTGCTGCGGCAAATATGTCCAAGCTGCTCAGCATGCAGGATGTTTGGGCCGGCTTCCCTGACACGACTTGGCTCGTAACGTAGATCCGGTGTTCAAGAAGTCGAGGGGAATTTTCCAACGTAGATGACACTCTTGTAGCTTCCCAAATCACGCTGGTCTATCTTGATCCTTACAATTTGAGAAACCTCCAAGTAAATTCAACACCTTTATGAGCTTATCTTGGTATCTTATGGTATATTATGGTATCTTGCTATGTTGAGCCCATTTGGGCGTTGCCAAATTTCCAGCCTCAAACAGGCGGTGACACCCTCTGCACTGGTCTTCAGCTCGGCCAGGTCCACCTGGCGGCTGGAATGACTGGATCTAACTGGGTCACTCAGCAACTTTGAACTGCGATGTTAATAGATGTGAACAGATGTCAACAATGAGTCAGCAAAATTCGTCAGGATCAGTCCATAGTTTGTCAAATTTCATCTGGCGTGCATTGGCACCTTCTCAGCCTCAAATTTGGGACTGACCCGCTTCAGGAATTCCATGACCAGTTCCCTGACCACTTGCTCCTGCGTCAAGGGACAGTGCTGTGCACGCTCCCAACTGGTATTCAAATAATTTCAAATATGGCAAAGTAAGGAAGATACTGGAAGAAAGACTGGAACGCTACGCTATATTGCCTGTGTTAATCCTGAAGCCGAAATACGGACAGCCGCCTGCCCACCAGCTCTGGCGCTGCGGCAAAGCTGCCCCCAGGTTTCGAATGCGAGGTCCCTGTTGAGCATCCACATCACAGCAGTGTGGAGGGAATCAAACCATTAAAGATGATGATATGATATGATATGATATGATATGATATGATATGATATTATATGATATGATATGATATGATATGTGTCTGAATCTGATGCATATCCCCCATATAATTGGGGAAAATGGTGATTAATCAGTGGATAAGGGCACGCTGTTTTCAAAAAATGTGCAGAGATCCTCCTCGTACGATCCGTTTCTATCCTAACCAAAGCAGGCCTGATGCCATCCTCCATGCAGAAGTCAAAGACTGGAAGTAGCGCCTATCAGGGCAGATTATCATCCCCAGGGACTGGGATTTACACCTGACCTATGGATGATAGACACCTTTCATCCAAACACCATCGACTAGTGATAATTATGACAATCACAATGAGGGCATGTCCAAGGTTGAGTACTCAAATCCAACACAATCCAACAAAACGAGTTTTTGTATTTTTGTAGAGAAAAGAAATGGCTAGGGTATGCTGGGATACTGTATTTCCATTGAACACATAGAGATCCTCCCAGATCCTCCACATCGTCGTCCATCTTGACATCCCCCCACAACCTGAGCTGTCTGCGCCACAAAAGGCGCATAAGCGGCCGCCAGCTCCTCCACAAACCTTAGACCACGATTCACGACATCTGGAGACAGGAGACCTCTGAAATGGCGATCCAGGATGATCCACAGATATCCACAGGTATCATTCAGATATCCACAGTTTCAACCCATTCTTGGGCAGCCACGTGTGCACACATTCCAATGCTCCTTTTAGATCCTGTGGTTTCACACGTTGCAGCTTCGAAATGGCCACAAAGGTGGTCACTGTTGGTCACCGTCGGTCCCCGTCCTGAATCTCTGAGGAGTACATGATCATGACCTTCATCCTTCCGTTCTCCCGAATCATTGTCCTTGGCCCACAGGGTCTTCGATCATTCTGTCGAAAAACAGAGCTCTTGGTCCTCCACATAGATATGCCAACATCAGTTCATTGAATTCAAATGAGCTGAGGCTGATGGGGCTTTCTAAATTTCTTGACATAAGTCGGGAAGACCGGGAAATCCGGGAAGACCCAAGTATATGCACCCTGCTAGCAGTACAGCTGTTGGGTTCAATTGCCCTGGGGGGTTCAACTTCGCTAAGGCCGAAGCAGATTGACTTCATCATCGTCGTTGATCTCATCTTGATTCGCAAACTCCTTTGGCTTCGTGGCAGGGTTCTCAAAGGACAACTCTATCTGCAGAACATGGTGATTAGAGGGGTTAATTCTTTTTTAAGGCTTGACATCTAGTATGGTCTGGTCCTCTTGTCAAAGTCCCCATCGTGCCACTCTTACTCGAAGAGACCTCATTGCACTGAACAGGACATGTTTGTCGGTGTCCCGCGGAGCCAAGGTGAACTTCTCCAGAACTCCAGGCCTCTGCGGAACTGCGGAATCAATGGTTGATTTTGCGCTGCAGATCGGAATCATATGGAATGAATGGAATGAATGGACATCAAATTTCGCATGACATCGGTGACCACCTGTGAAACAGGTCCAAGATGGTCCAAGTGAGTCGCAGTCCAAGCCCGAAGTTTCCTCTAAGATCTCGGCAAAATGTGACTCACGAAAGGAAGGAAGTCTTCTTTCAGAGTTGCCTTGGCAAAGCTGTGCCACTCTGAGGAATTTTTATATATTTTTATGAATTTTTGCTACCCTCTGCCGACCATGGCAATGGGAAGTTCCCCTAAGGGAAACTCACCTACAAACTGCACATGGGTGTTCAATTGCCAGGTTTTATCACCGCTAAAATCATGGATTTCGGAGGATTTCGGACCGTTCCACTTTTCAGATGCCCCTGGAACCTCATATCAAGTGATAGCCTTCAACTGCCTAAGGACGCAGCACAAATCCGCTCAGATGCAGCCATCATGTACTCCTCAAGGTAGCACGCCAAGTGCTTTTTTGCATGGGGAGTTCATCCAGGGTACCTAAAAATGATTCAGAACTGGTCATGTTTAATGGGAAAGCAATGGTTTTGGGGGACCCCAGATCATCAGAAGCACCATTTTTTGATAAGCTGGATCAATTGATGTGCCCGTAGCTCCTTCACCGGATCATTGTTGGGCAAGTTTGGAATCTTGGTTGCTTCAATCATCGCCTGCCAGAGTTGGTTGTCTTCTGATTCACTTGCAATACATTCCACTTGTGTAGTGCTGCACCATCTCATCAAAGTACACTACAGTACGAGATTATGAAATACATTGCGGATCATTGTGGTGTGCTCATGCATTTTGCATACACTTCTGCCACACCGCTGTGCTTTTGCTCTTCTAGCTTGATATAGAAGCTATATCAATTCCAGAGAACGCCTGCATGATTTGCTCTGCATCAGCTCGAAAGCCGCTGCGCCCTACAGCACGGGCCAAAAGGGAGATGCACTCGAAGCATTTCCCAAGTAGCTGACGCTCCTCACCCACAGAAACTGGCACAGTAGTTTTGCATAGTCTTGATATTGATAACCAGGATGCAGGGTTTTCTGGTGAAGCCGACAGCAAACAGCTACCCCTCAGCCAAGCATTGTGACTGAATCTATGGGCCCCCATGAAATGTTCAAGCAAAGTCGGACAGAAACAGAACAGTGAAACCCGAGGGTTTGAGGTGTCCTTTCCAACCTGACTCAATGAGCGTCTGGTGAGCCCTTTTATCAGCCACAACTATTGGTCAAGCCACTGGTTGCTGTACCTTCGCACCTGACCTCTTCAGCGAGAGACTTCAACAAGACCTGCCCTCGATGAAGTCAGATCTTCATCCCAGTTCTTCTCATACGCCATCACAACCCACACCCCCAAACTGCAGTCCTCTGTCTTATGAAGGGTATTCTGGATGACCTGCAAAGCACACCGCTAGAGACTTGCAAAAGCGACTGCAAATTGGGTCTCACACGTTGCTCAAATGAAGCCAATCATCGGCCTTTGCTCCATCGGTCTATTGGAATTGGGAAATCAGGAACCACGATGCAGAGAATGAGGCAGCTATGAAGTCCTCTGACATAGAAACATATTTAGAAACCATGCTGCAGCGCCTGCTTCAACACAGGCATCAAGTGCCCATAGTACGGTGCGAAGGCATCGTCGACCTGCAGCAACATGGGGAAAACACGGTGATGTAGGGTTCTATGCCAATAGTTATGTGTTTCTTTTGCTTGTGTGAGAAATCAGAGTAGATGAGAGCTTATAAATGCTTAGTACATCCGAATAATGCTATATCAGATGGTTCATGAGTTCTTGATTATCATGGTTTTTCCTTCTTGCTTTGCTATTTCATGAAGACCTCATGTAGACCCCAGCTAGGTGGCCGCCGGTTGCCTGGCCAGCAATGACCGCGATGAAGGTGATAGCCTTCTTCTGCAGCTTGACGTCACTGCTCTGCATCTTGTTACCCAACTTCTCCATCAGCGGCTGGATGAACGGTTCCAAATCCTAGAAATTGAAATGCTGCTGGAAGTATGACCTTGATTTGGGGATAGTCTTGGGGATGAGTGGTTAAAGAAATACGTACTTTTATGGGTCCATAAAATTAATATATGTAGTTTTGTGGCTCCATTGACCCCATGTTTGCAAGTCGGATCATAGAGAATCACAACTGAGTCGTAACGTCGTAACGTCGTAACTCAACATGCCGTGCCTCTCGTTCCACAGACTCGCCGAAGTGCTGGAAGGCCTTGATAGACTCACCCTTTGTTCACAGTCGCAGTGGAGCTGCTGAAAATCTTGTGAAACTGGAAACCAGAAGACCATGTCTGAAAGAACTCAAAATGGGATAAAATGGGCAGAACAAAGCTGGCAAGATATCATAAGATATCCATAGATATCCTGACCCGCATTTCTTGCCTCCATGCATCGGAGGCTCACCCTGGCACATGGGTCGTCGAGACCTGACGTTGAAAGCTTCTCACGATTTGGAAGCTCTTGCACAAGGCTCGTGCTAAGCAGAGAAGGGCACAAAGAGATCTTGTTAAATGTCACAAATCAATACAAATCAATATATATATATAATCAGCCAGTTTCCCGGTTCCCGCACACCTTTCAGGAACTCTGGCAGCAGCTGAGAGGTCCAAGTCTGGCGGAAGGCTGCATTCAATTTTCAATGGTCCAGGATTCAGGATCAAGGATCATGTAGGTTCAGCTCGGTCCAATCGGCGTCATCCACAAGACTCGAATGCAAGTGATCACAGGCATTTGCTTGAGGGTCAATGGAGCCTTGTAACGCTGTGAGAGTTTGGGAGCACAAGGATGGGACCTGTGGAGACCTGTGGAGACCTGTGGGACAAAAAGCCTACTGTAATTCAATTCAGGCTGATGGGGTCTAAAGGGCCAAAAGGACTTCTAAGAGATGGAGGAGAATGTGAGTCATGGGAGGATCCAAGCTATCTCCGCCAACCTCGGAGCTAAGCACATCCGCATGATCCTCGCGTCGCCACCAGTTGTGATTTGAGAGGCTGCACTTGGATTCGGAGGAACACAGGGGAGCTACTGATGTTCGGCCACCAGAAAGCAGAAGGAACAATCAACCAAGTGATTTTGCCCCGTCTGCCCTTGTTTGTCGTGACAAAGACTATCCTATTTTGCCAAATGCTCAATGCAGCTTTGGGCACGCCAACCAATGTAAAACTGGGGCTTGAAATAAATTGAATAGATTTGAATGTTGGAATGGTGAACTGGTCAGTGAGCATTTTCTGTTCATTTTTCTGCAGGCAGGGTCCCGTCCTCTGAAAACTGAGCTATGCCGCCCCAGGCAGCATAACGCACGCGCCTGACCATGCTATCAGGGCTTAAGCCCTCCAATCCAGCCGTTAAGTCTCAAGTTCACTCGCAAAGGCTTCTGGTTGGGGGTCGTGTATCATCAAGGTTTACAAGAACACGTGTGGTCCTCTTTTCTCACAGAAAGCCGTGGAACTTAGCCCCCGCCACTGCAGTTTCAATAAAAGCGCATGTCAATTGGAAGAAGCCGCAGGCATTGTCATTAGAAGCTGAAGTGGCATGGGGTTGTCTATAATAACAGATTCTAGTTGAAAGCCTTCGGAAACGTAGGAATGCAAGCATTGCATGGCAAGATTCCTTCAACTTCTGTACATTTTGGTCCGATTGAAAGTGCATTTCAAACTGTGTCAACTCTTTCGGAACGTTTGATCAGTCATCAAGGATCTTGGTCTCATCGCATGAGAAAGTCTGATAGGCCCTTCAAAGGTCCATCGTCCTTTGGGGTCTCCGTTTTCTCCGGCTCAGTAGGTGCTGTCTCTGGCTCCTGCCGTTGAAAATGTCAAGCAAATTCAAAGAGAACTGCCATGGCGATGATTTGACCTGAAGTTCTCTTGCAGGATAATCAAATATAATTAATAGTAATTAATTAGCTATTCTGTTCACCTCTTCTGTCAGTCTTTCATGATATTTGATGTTGTTGCATGCAAATTGAATTCTCCTTTGCGGCCTCTGCAACCTCCTCTTTCACCGTCGCTTCAGAAGCATCTTGTTTCTCTTCTGCGTCTTTCTTGCCATCCTTGAGAGTCAGCATTACTCGAGAGCGCCTTCCCCTTGCCTTCGGCTGCTCTGGCAACAATCGTACCTTGATTTGATCGTTCGGAGCTCCTGATTCTTCAAAAGACCGAGTGTAGTAACTTGCCGGAATGTAACCTTCCGCTTCTGTTCCATCCGGCATTTTCACCGTCACCACGGCATGCCTTGGGAAAAGCCTCAGGACTCGGGCGTCCAAATACTCATCCTTCGGTAAATTGCTGAACTTGTCCACAATCTCTTGAAGTGCCTGTGGAGGTGCCTCTGAGAAGGTTGGGCGATACAAGTCGCCTGATCGGCAAGTCACATAGATTCGGTCATCCTGAACTCTCAATACTCGGCCAGTCACAGGCTTTCCCACCTTCAAACGCCTGAAGGCTTTTCTCGGATAGGTGTCGCTCGCCTCTTGCCAATCCAGGTATGCTGGCCGATCAAATCCTACGTCCAAAAAGGCCGCAGGTTTTTCATAATTATTGCTGAAGAGGAGGCTCTCCACAGTCCCGCTTAACTCTTCCCCTGGCACCAAATCTTCGATCTTTCTCGATGGAGGATCTTTCATACTTACCAAAGCACGATCTTTCGTCAGGTACTTCTTCCGGACTTGAATCTTGCTCCCAATTGCCAACTCCTTCAAACAGAACATAACCAAAGTCCAAGGTATGAATGCTTACACTTACACAAAAGAAACACATGGTGTTGGATACGACGATTACAGTACGTCATTCTGTGCATCATCACCATTATCCTTAAAACTTAAAACCTATCTACAGTACCAAAACAAAAAAACATGACAAAGATACGAAACGTTCCAAAACCCCGAGTTCTTTTCGAATCCATCTCCTTCTCTGCGCCCTCTGTGAACTGTTTGCGCGGCAGCTGCGCCAAGGTGACTTTGCCATCAGCACCCACTACCTTCACTGCTGCATCTTGCCATGTGAAGCCAAGAACCTTCGCAGCTGTCACGGAAAGATGCGTGCTAAACAAAATGATGTCCTGTGTTCAGCTTGAGTTCTTAAGGAGAAGTGCTATGGAATACACAGCGGTCACAGAGGAATTCCATTATTCTTGCGAAGTTGTAGCTGGATGTGAGGCAGCTTGGCTGCAAGAGATTCAGGAAAGGACCATGAAAAGGTTGTGAGGTGGCTTGATCATCAAAGAAACCCAGCTGAGGACCATGAGAGTTCAAAGGATATGCAATGACACAACCAATGAAAGCCAAACAAAATAAGCAGTAATAAGAAGTCATATCATATCATATCATAATATCATAATATATATATATATAAATATCATATCTGAATAAAGACATGACCCTGCCTCTGCCTCTAGCTTGGTAGCTCTGTCGAGACCCTCCAGGGCGGATAGGTCCACCTGGGGGGGCAACTTTGGGGGCAGCAGAGCGAGCAGAGCGTGAATCGTATGCACTGTGGAGGGAAAGACACATCTAAGTGAGGTAGAAAAATGTAGAAAAACACGTCAGAAATCGTCAGAATGTTGAGCACCTAATTATATCTAACTATCGTGTGATGCAAGGATCTTAACGCACCAATGCCAGCTTCAGAAACTTGGGTTGGCAAAAGAACACAAAATCGCACTAAACCTATTACTGCTAAGCCCATCCTCACCTGGACGTTCTCTTTCTCTGGTCGTTCCAAGCTGCCCTCGCGCATTGTCACAACGGTGCCCTTCTCCTTTGACAGGACTCGAACTTTGACTTTTTGACCATTTTGTGGCACGTTCACAGGGAAGGTGTCGCTCACCTCTGAAGCTGGCAACGTAACCTTCGGGCGGCGAAGGGTTGTCGAGTCCACAGTTGGTTTTGGCGGCATCATTATATGCAAAGGACCGCAAAGGAACATTGGGCGGATCCTCAAGAAATATGAAGGACAGAAGCTTTTAGGACAACAAAACAACCCTGCAGATATTGTTGTTTCCAGTCACAGTCTACTCCTGGCCGAAATAATTAGTTTTCACAACATCTATGCTTGCGGATAAGAGTGAGTTCAAAGCAAACCAACATGTCTGTCCTCGATTACGCGTGTTTACCTGGAGTGTGCAACTTTTGAGCACACATTTGCCTTTTCATTTCTTTCAACTCATCAAAACACACATGCCACTCGTCAAAGCACAGCTACATGGAGGCAAGATCATCAATTCTTTTGTCCAGGGATGTCCAGTGTCTTTCTGTGCAAAACAACAGTTTCACTTCACCCTACTTCATGGATTCTCAGGGATTCTCACTGGCCTCCTTGCCCTTCCAATCCAAGCGCAAACCATTTCGTGTCTTGCGGACAACCTTCGTGTTCAGCTGTTGGCCAATCTCCAAGTCTTTCAGAACACCTGAAATCTGCAGCTCAGGTGGAGAGTGGTGATCAACCAAAATGTATTTATGTAGTACACATATAGTATACATATGACATAGAACTATATAACTACATATATATATATATATGCGTGGACTATTGACCAGCTTCTATATGTGTTTGCATCAAAATTGGAGACACCCCAATCGATGGCAAATTCAATGGAGAAAATGTGGATCAACTACAATATGAGATTTTGGGGTGCCCTATTTTCAGAGAACCTCCAATTAGTGTGAACTTGTTATGATATTAGCATGAACTTAATATGATTCTAGCAACTGTTGGTACGGGCATTGCATCTCATTCTAGTTCTAGCACCGCGCATCGATCTGCAATTACTTTACACAGCATCCCAGCCGCACCCAGGCAGCCTCCATCTTTCCTTAGAATGAAAACACTGTCCCAAAGAACTGTCACCAACTCGGGAAACTAAGCAATCTGAGTCCCCCTGACTTGATCCAAGAGAGATTCTCCAAGGAATAAGGAAACACTAAAATACACTAAATATTTTTGAATACCTGTAGAATCTGTAGATTGACAACAAATCACTCGAATCAAACGCTTCAGACGGGCAGCTTTGGCTTCTTGGCCTCTTTTGGGGCTGCTCCAGCTGCTGCTGCTCCAGCTGCTCCTGCTTCTTCTGCCAATTTCTCGAAATCCAAAGCTTCCAATACGGCGGAGGCCGCTTTCCTCTTTGAGCGAGGAATACATGGGAGCTTTGGGGGGGCATGCAAAGCAAAGCATCTACAGGCTAGATTCATAGCACACCTGTGTATCAGCGATCTCTGTACACCCGCCTTTTGAGTTAAATGCACCCGGAAGTGGCTGCTGCATTTCCATGCTAACTACCGGCTGGAGCCAGGATCTTTCCCACCCAAAACGATTGAACCCTTTTGCAAATTGGTCCTTTTGCACTCACCAGCGTTGGCAGCATCGAAGGTGACGCGTCCTCCCACCAAGGATGATGAGAAATCGCTCAAACATGGCAACTCCACTGAAGCCTCGCGCGATGCAGACGCAACAAAAGGCAACACAAGCCAACATGCAAAGGGCGGATTCCAAAATTCGATACATACAGGAAAGGGCGAGCAAGCTGAGCTGCGCCTGGTACGTCCAAACCATGTCACCCTTCTTGATCTTTCTGCCAAGAGCCTTTGACAGCTTCTCCTCCAATTCCTTTACAGGACTCTTTGAGCCCTGTTTCGCCTTGCACAAGGGGCATCAAACACCGGCCTCAGAGCGTTTTCCAAGACTAAACCATGTACTCGTGCCTCAAGTTTGTCAAAGACTTGTACTAAAAGTCGCATTCGCAATGCAGCCAGGGTAGCTACAGCACCAACTTGCGCTTGTCCGGGAAAAAAAAAAAAACGGTACCCCAAAATCTCATGGTTCATCATGATTTTCCCCATACATCCCAATTGAAATTGCCAGAAATTGGCTTCAGGCCAGCCCAATTTTGTCATGGGCGGGGCCACACCCACCACAGCTGAGACCACCTCGGCTTGGAGGCGAACAGCTGGATGCCGAACAGCTTGCCTCGCCCCGCAGAAGGCCTGGATTTTTTTGTGACGATGGGCCGATGGTCTGGTTGGGGTACATCTGGGTGTGTGGGTGTGTATACATATATATATATTTATTTATTTATATTATATTATATATATATATAATAATATATATATATATATTATGCTTAACCAAAAATTGTGGTTTAATGGGATATAACTAACCAACAATATGATATTTGGGTGTGGCTGAAGATGGGGTATACCAGTATACCACCAAAATGATCCTATAATACAGAAATGGTGATGAAGCGTGGCATTTGGGGGTGCCAAATTTCCAGAGAAAAAAAAAACATGCGGTGAAGCCAATAAGAGACCATCCCAGTAACCAGTGATGCAGGTCAACTATGAATCATCCCAAAGGGGCAATCAATTGGGTATACCCAATAAATCCCAATCATATACCCCAACCGGGGATGGTTTACGATGTTTATGCCCCATGCAGCAAAGCTGCGGTCCATTGACACCTGACAATTTAAATTGTGTGCATCAAATGTAATTGTGTGTATATATCATGTTGTATCATATTATTTATAATATATAACTATATATAACTAATACATCGTATAATATAATATCGCAGATAAATGCGTGCTATCGATTGTTATTGTACATTCTCATCCAAAAGACTGACTGCATCTGTTTCCTTCCCTTCACCTCCCACTTCGATCGACAAGGAATGATTGGAATGATTAGACTTGACACTTCACACCTGTCAATGACAGCGAATCCAGCCTGTGTAAGCGGTTGACATATCAGAATGCCAAAGAAGAGAAGCCAGGCGTGCCCCCTGAAAATCAGAAGCGTTGTCTTCAACGACCAGCTTGGGATAAACCAAGAGATTCAGTATTGAGAAAGTGATAGAATAAACGAAAGCCACAATTAATGCCTCTCTTCCTCAACCGGAACATATGATTTGAGTTGGTTTGCTAACCTTCCTTGTGTACTTTGTTTAAGTACACTGGATGCACGGTGCTGAACCAAACCAGCCCCCTACTGCTTATATACGGTATTATAGATATATTATATATATATATACAGTTATATATTTATATATACATCTTGATTAGAAATGATTAGTTGCCCACACAAACACACACACAAAAAAAAAAAAAACATATGTGTTATGGCCAAAACTCCTGGTGTAAGGTGAGTGGGTATCCTACTTTTAGAGTCCTTGATGCAGTTCGCTGAGTCTTTGAATCTATTCCCTGACGAGGAAAGGAACCTGGATTCCTACGATGGCACATGGCGTCAGCATCGGCCTGCCATGCAGCTGCCTTGCTTTTGAAGAAGCCATCGGGGCCGGCATGGCGTCCAACAAGCGTGCGGCACAGCAAAGGGAAACCCCAAGACCTGTCTCGCCTTCTGACTGTTCACTGCCGGGAAAGCCAGTGAGAAATTCAAATTGTGTACGTAGAAAATTGGGATTGCCGAATTGGATTGCGCCATCTTCGGGATTCCCTAAAGAGGATTCTGATTTGCAGAAACTTTGTCTTTCCATTCTTTGTTGAGGTTTGAAAGTGAAGTTGGCCAAAATTCCGTGTGCATTCATTCTAAAGTGGCAACAGCATGCCTCATCGGTCGTATCCATATCTGTCGCTTTGATCCGCGCCGCTGTTGGTCTCCAACAGTTGAAGTTGGCACAATGGTTGGCGCTACATTTCCATATCTTTCCATGATTTCCATGTCACAGGCCCAAACCCAACCATCTGACATCATCTGACATCATCTGACCATGTATTGGATCCCGCCAGTTGAATCTGAGAGCAGGACGCATTCGTGGCCGCCAGCTGCATCTTGATGCCATTCGTCATCTGCGAAACTGTGGCCTGGCGGTCCATTGGAGCAGGGAGGTGGGGCCCACGTTCCAGAAGTTGAGGTCCCAGGTTGGTTTGGGGCATTTTAAGATTGATTTTTTCTATGGTTCCATATGGTAGTCATGGTTCCCTAGGGTTTGCTATGGTTCCTTGGGTTTTTAAGCGAGCTCAAGCTGACAGGGAAAAAAAAAGTGACCTCATCATCCACGTACTCAGCGATCATGCTGAGGGTGGAGATTCCCGCAACGACCTGTGGCAAAGTTGCCCCAGAATGGGTGTTGCTGTTGGTTCTGAAATATCTGAAACCGGAAAACACTCTGTGATTGCAGCCGGCTTAGGGATAAATTTTCACGTCCAATCAAGAAGTGCCTGTTGAATAGGATTTGAACATGCATATATACAACATCCGTGACGCATGGAAATCAACACTCCGTTAATCACGACGATGCGATCCCTCTAACCACCGTCCTTCCGGCATTCCCATTCATACAGTACCTGAGCATCGAGCCTGCTTCCATTCGCCACTTTGGAAGAGTTTGCTGACAGCCTTCGCATCCCAGAGAAGAGGACCGGAATGAATTTTCCGCTCGATCACGCAAGGGCATATCCACAGGGAACGGATGATGTTTCTCTAGTTTTCCTGGAGCTCAAAAGGCTCAGCGGCTGGGTCTGTTCTGTGCATCCGGCGATCGCAAGAGGGAGGACCAACAGAAATTCGTCAGAAAATGTGCCATCACTGCTACGTAACAAATTGGCCAGGCTAGCCTGTTTCATGCCCTCAAGCAAGAGGGGAAAGGCTTCTACCTGCAAACGATTTGGGACACGATTCACCAGGAGTCACCAGTTGTCACACGCCACTGACCAGACAATGTCATTGCCTACATTGTCAAGGGGTCAACATGTTCTGTTCTGGGTTTCAAAGCAAGGCCCCTGGCCGCAAACAGGTTAAAGCTGCTGACACTACACCTTCCTTGGGTACATAGCAACATTACCATCGCCACATGGCCCTAGTAATCAGTCACCTATGTCATGTCAAACTACTGTGAAAAATAAATATAACATTATATATATATAACACATCATAACACATCCAACTGCAAAGTACCAAAACTGGAAAGCCAAGTAAGTTCTTGGACCACATGCCTTTGCAGCTTGTATCCACCCCATGATCTCCCTGTGCAACTGCCAGATCAAACCTTCGCGGCACATCGACTTATTCGATCAACCTCAGGGGGCTGAAACCTGTGATGATGTGTACTGAAACATGAATTCGTAAAATCAACGGGAGATCCTCTCAACTGAGAAGACCACCGACTCCTTCCCAATGTTGAAGAACCTGGAAAAATCCCATGGTGGGATTATCCCGAATTTGGGATGATTTGTCCCAGAGGACAACGAAGGGTAGAGGATTGGTGGAACATGGTGGAACCAATCTTTGAAGATCAGGTTTTAAGATTTCAAGACACACCTACTGTAGGCTCCATGTTGTCAATGGCTATAGCTCGTTTGTCCCATTCAAATTCAAAGACATCAGCGAAGCCATCGGTTTTGCTTCTCAGAACCCGGCTCTTCATCCTCATCATCCTCATCATCCTGTAACTAGACTTTTTTAAAATAACCATACAGGCCGTGCAGGTCACAAGAAACAAAAGTCTCTCTTGGTACAAGTAATGAAGAAACAAGTTCAAATCCTTGTGAATCATGATGAATCAGTACATACATTCAAGATCCTTCGAGTTTTCTGATCATCATGATTTATCATGATCATACATCATACATCAACATACCGTACGTTTCAGCTTCCTCATCATGTTCACCGGTGGCGATGGCCGGGCCTGCTGCATCCAGGTGGCCATGTCCTCGTTGAGCTGCATCATGAAGGTCACGCACAGACTCAGGGCCTGCATCCCAAGATGTTTGGCCATTTTGCTAATGAAACATATGGAAAATGTATGTCAAATGTTGTTAAAATGTGGTTAAAAGTTAAACCATGTTATAATAAATCAAATGGAATTTACGGGTACTGGCCCTGTGTTGGGACCAAAGCCATTGCTTTATGCAGTGTGCACCTTCCATTCATTGATTCGTGGGCCTTCTGGATGTAGTCGGGGACCTTCAGCATCATTTTGGGTTTGCTCTCCATGAAGGAGACAATCACCTGGGTGTGCTGAGTGAAGCCTGCTGTGGATTGATAGAAATCCTCACTCATTTGCCGAAAAGGACAAAACAAGGAATATTGTCTGAACTCTCCCCCACCAACAAAAAAAACACGGAGACAAGACGGATTTTACAAGGTGGTAAAAACTCAATGCTTTCGTGTTTTTCAACATCAGGCTTTGAGGCTTCCACCTCGAAAGCATACTTCCTCGCGGAAGAAACTCTCACAAGACAGCCAGCTGATCTCTTCCAATCCAGATCAGCTTCAGGGGCCGTGCCCAAGAAAAGTCATTACCGAAAGAACAGCTCATGCTCTCTGGATAGAATTGTTCAAATGGTCCCCCAATGCCTTTGCAAGAACATAAGTACACACATCTGGAAGCCCATTCAGAATTTCGTGGCTGCCACAGAGACCAGTCTCAAATCGCCTTCGTTTACATCTCCATCCAAATGGGTGTGGGGGGGGACTGTGTCAGTCAACATTGAAGGCCTTGCCGACTCATCTGGATGATTCCTAGGTCAAAAAAAAGCCGAAAAGGCCAGTCGGAAATGCAATGAAAGGATGACAAGTTGATGACCAGGATGTTGCTACAAATTCGGCCTCTTGATTGCGGAAACTTGAAGTGAATCAGCAACCAACACTTCAACACTTTCAGAAAGTGACTTCATGAGCAGCCTCTTCTGCATCTGGCAACTGGGTTGAGGCTGCCGCATCGCAATGTTTTCCAGCACAGGAATCAAATGGGATGCAATCTGGGCAGATCGATTTGTTGATGATGCGGGAAAAGCTTGCGAGTAGAAAAAGTATGAAAAAAACAACTAACATCAACTAAGATCTGATGTTACTTGCCAATCCACAGCACTCCTTTTTCGAAAAAGCCTCTGCTACCAGTACCCTTAAGACTGAAACAAAATGCCTTATGCAAAACCGCAAAACAAACCACATTCTGAGATTGGGATCCCCAGACGTGCTGCTTGAAGAAATCGGCCGTCTCTGTTGTTGATTGCAAAGCTTGGAGGACTGTGTTCAGTTCCCTTGGGCAAACATTCATGCAGGTGCTCATCCATCTCAAACCTCCACGCAACAAGGGTAGGGATCCATATTGACACTGGACATCCTAAAACCAATCTATATAAAGCCTATCGGCCTATCGGCTCGCTTCAGAGATTATAGAGATTGTTCATCTCTGGATATTCTGGATCATTTTGAGCAGGCCACTTCGGCTCTGGATTCGATGCCAACTGGGCCATGACACTGGTGACCTCGGCAGCTCCGAATCTACGTCTGGGAAGATGGTCACCATGGGCCAATGGGTCACCGATTTCGGCAAACCTTTCTGAATTGTGCTGAGGCCTCTTACTTCAGGAATCAGCGGCTGAAAAGGTTTCCTGCCCTGACAAGGAAGAAATATGAATCGATCACGGAGATGCAGTTAACTCAGTTAACTGTCAGCAACTTGGCACGTCTCTTAATTTTCACAGGACGTCGTACGGAGAATCAGGATCTTTATCACATCCGATTTCAGGATTCCAACCTTCCAATACGTTTAAGATCATTGAAACATACGTCACTCAAGGCCCTTGGATTGAGATTCAACAAAAAAAAGATTAAAAAAGTCGTCCCAACCTCCTTGCTGGGAATGTCATCCACAAAGGAGCACAGCAGTGCGGCAGCTTCAGCCTTGACCTCAGCGACGGCTCAGAGGCTGAGCTCCTCGATTTCGCTCGTCGCAAACTCGCTGAGAGGTGGACAGTCTGGGCTGGATCTGCCAAACAGGTCTGCAAGACCTGCACCAGTGAAAAACCCTAAGGATTTTCGGGTTTCCCTGGGAACAATACCGGGTTCCCGGTATGACCTAGTTTGGGATGAATTTAATGTGAACCCATTTTATATCATTTTATGCCAATATTGTGATGTCTGATGAGATCTCATGAGATCTGATGAATCTGATAAGATCAGCTTTGACACCGAAGCCTTCGCTACTCTTTTGATAGTTGACAGTACCACCCTGCTGTTTCTGTGGCCTGGAAAGTCTGCGAGGAATTGACTAGGAGCATCTGCCACACAGAACATGTCAGCTCCTGACACGATCGCAGCTGTTTTCAATGATTGGAAGGAAATCCGAAGATCTGCATCTCTCATTTCAGGGCCAAATTGTGTGCCTTGACTATCCACAAGCAGTCTGCTCGAAGGGTGCTGTCCTGCGGTGTTTTGTGCTTCAGCCAGTTTCACTGGCAAACAACAGCAAGCTAAATAGGAGCATGGCTGTCAGTTGTCCTTGCTACCATCGCAAATGATTCGAAAGAGGCAAGGCATCAGCTCTGGCCACTCCTGAACCAGCTGAACTGGCTATGGCGACCCAAAATGGGGTAATAATGGTCCAGAAAATTGGTCATCTTGGTATGCTCAAACTGTAATCAAACCATTGAGTTTTCGAGGGTTGTATAGTTTCGAGCCATACCGTACCCAAATGTCGCTCCTCTACGTATGGGGACCACCAACAGACATCAGTATGTGGGCTGCGTCATCTCGTCCAATTTGGTCAGGTTTGGTCCTTGCCAGTCCGTCCCCCAGACCCTGGCAGCGCTGCCTTAAGATTCGTAGGATTCTGGCCTTCCTCAATCTCCACAATCTGGTTGGCCAAGCTTTGGACGCAATCAGACACCTGCAACTACCATGTCCAGTCAGCTGGTTGAAACAGTTTCAGGTTCACATACAAGCCACTGCCAGTTGTCACGGGCACCTTTCTCCTGAGCTGCTGGTTTGGCTCCGCCTGAGTCAAGGGATGCAGGGCAGGATGGTAATCCTCCCAAAATTCCCAATATATCATGAAGACATATGAAGACATATGAAGACCCTTTATGTTCTGATTGTCACCTTCTTGCGGGGACGGAGATTCAACCCCTGGGTAAGGCAGAGCTGGCAGAGGAGTGTCCAATGCGTCCATGAGTTTTCCATGTCCATCCCGCAACCCATCCTCCAGGATCTGAAGCAACTGCCCTCGCAGCTGCGCCTGGAGGCTTGAGTGGCGCACGCATGGTATGACAAGGGACTTGGGTAACTCGGGGCTACCCGGCTACCCTTCAGTTGTCAGTTGCAATGGATTTTCAAAGGGGGGTCTCCTGGACTCAGAAGCTCAGAGTCCACCACAGTGCTATGCTGACTACATGGCATACTTCAAATGGCTGCTTTGGCAACGTCGCTGAGGCGAGCCATTGAGTCAGAGATGCAGGACATTCGCAGCCCTATGCCTGGTGCGTTCCCAGCTTCTGCCAGGTGGACTCAGGTTCCTTCACCTGCACTGGAACATGCTGACTGAGATTGGACAGAATAGAATTGTATTCATCTTGACATATCTTGACATTTGACAGCCACAGCCACCACAACGTCGCACCTTGCCGCAACACTGCCGTAGCAGGACTGCACACTGCTCCCTAACCTCATCGATGGCTGACACCTCTGCCCTTCGTGGATTCAGCGGTTCTGAGTCATGGACCGGAAGCTCCAGGTCAGTCTGCGTCAGCACCTCTCTTCCATGCCGCAACGGTCAGAACGCTTCTTGTCGATGTGTCATACAAATTTTCACCGCATGGCACTGCCTGGACAAGTGATGCCACCAGCTGCACAGGTTCACTCCTGGATAGTTGCCAGTATGCCAGGATGCCGATAGACCAGCAAGTCAAACATGCAGACAGAATAAATATATCTGCCACAGTTCAAGTCTTGCAACTTCTCAAGAAAGATCTTCATGCTTGTCCTCTTGGCAGCGTCATAGCGTTGTTCTGCCTGATTTCGAGCGTTGTTATCTGCGCCTCAGGGGATAAGAGTTGGTGAACTCAAGTGTTCAAATAGCAGATGATGCCGTAGGCCAATCAAAAAACGTGTATGTATAATATATATATATATGTATATGCATTTATCATGAAATTTCATGGAATGTTTTAACATGTTTTAACCTAGGATCCAAAATGATCCAATGCTGGATTCGCTCAGGAGATGGCCCAGCAGGTGACGGATGGTTTCAACAAAACCAGCATCTACAGCCTGACAGGGTCCCCATCCCATGGCTGGAGAATGACCTACCTCCGTGTTGTACAAAACCGAAATTGGCACCTGCCGAGGGGGCGGTTGAAAAGCCATGGCAAACGTTGCGAAAGTTGCGCAATGAGATGTTTCCCAGCCTCTTATTCGGTCGTAGGTCGTATAGTTAGTAACAAGGCATCCTTCCGTGCTCACACGAAAGTCGTTTACCAGACCGCCTTGGGCGATGCTCTACTTTCCCTGGCCTTCACGTTTACTGTACATGTGCAAGGGTTCCTAGGTTGGGCGAAAAACAGTTGGTGAAATACTTTACAGTGAGGAAACCCTGGTCGGCTTTATCTGCTGAAATTGTCATCTGGTTCATACTGGTGAAGCTTGAGCCAAAGCTGGAAGCAGCTCCGTTGTTCCACGGGGTCGTCTAAATGGCCTTGTTGGCAAATGAGCGTGGAGAATGGATCATAGGATAGGAATGGATAGGATGCAAAACGATGTCTAGAAGCAAACACTGAGCATGCCAGTCCTGGAGAAACAAGACACACCCTGTCACACTGTGACCCGCAGTGGAACTACCCTTGCTAAGTAGGGCATTCTTTTCGCATCTAATTTAGGCTTCAAAACGGCCGTCATCACAACGGTCCGGCACTGCGATCTGGCAGATGCCTCTGGCCATCTGCAAAATTTAAAGCTTCCAGCTGTCCTTCAGATAGCCGGGGTAAATTAACGACGACTCAACAGACTCCAGACGTGAAACTCTAATCAGTGGAAAACAAACCAACACATATTACTTCGTGGAAATGTCCAACATTCTACAGAGGCTGAATTGGTAACAGGACAAACGCATGTGATCCATCATAGCAACATCAAAGACTTCGAGTTCCACGTGTTGCAATCTTTGGCAAAGCTGTCTGTGTCTTTGGCGCTTCTCTGGAAGCACAGATTCAGATTTCCTGCTCACATTTTGTACCTTAGATCTCGACCCATGGTCCTCAAACTAATGATCTCAACAGGACGTTCCAGAAGTGGGTCTATTCACTGTCTTCCTGGATACTCCATGGATACTCCATGGATACTCCATGGATACCCCATGGATACCCCATGGGTACCCCATGGGTACCTCATGGGTACCTCATCAACTTCATCCATTCCACAAGGATCCACAAGGCCTTGGTACCCCCGCTTTAAGATCCTATGGCTCGCGCCATGTGCTGCTGCGCTGCTGAGGCTGCCTGGCATCATCTGAACAGCGCTAAGATTAGTTGCTGTATCAAAATGAATGTTACATATGTTACTTATGTTACTAAGATTTACATCTATAGTCTATAGTTATTACTAGTTACTATATAAATGTTACTAGATGTTGCTAGTTCAGTGTCCCAGTCTCCAGTACACGCTTCCCATTTCCATTTTGATTGTTTTTGATCCCAATGGAAATGCCAGCCTTCTGTGCCACCCCGTTGATGCCACAGAAGTTGGTGTCCAGCATCCAACGCATCATTTGCAAAAAGCCAACCTGTTGCTGCACTTCACTTCTGCACCACATAGTCTGAAAGTCAGTGTTGAAGGAAGTTGTGTGGTCTAAATGCTTGCAAATCAGTTTCTAGCACTTGAATCAAAGACTTACTTTGACTTTCCTGTTCTATCTCTGCCTCATGTCTCATGTCGCTACAAACTTCCAATGGAGAAGGATATCAAACTGCCCTTACAACAGCTCCAAGGCTCACAAACCACATGAATGACAAAGCCAGTGAGGCTCTGACGGGCCGATGTTTTCCCATCAGCAACCACAGATATCCATACCATTTGCTGAGCTCGGCGCGAAACTCAGTTCGTTCTTGTCTGTCAACAGTACTGAGCCTCAGATGCTTGACCCATGAAGAGGATGTCCAGTCGATAGAGACCAAAATGAAGCTTCCTAGAATTGGAAAACAATGCTTTATGGCTGCTTTATGGTTAATATTTTTTCTCACTCGGTTCGCACATCATCTCCCCATTCATAGAGGGGATTTTGATGGATTTTGAAACTGTAGAGGAGCCTCACAAGTTTGGGTTTTCAGTCTGGACACTCAGCTTTTCCTCCATCGCTTGCTTTCCTTGCATAGTCATCGGGACATTTAACCTTGGTTGATGCCGACTAGCGACCGAGGCCAATGCACACCTTTACTTGACAACTACGTAGCATGCGATTTAAAAGTTCACAGACTCTGATAGTCTTGAGATGAAGATTGTGTTTCTCGGTACGTCCCTGTTTCACTAGGACACGGGACCACCATAACATTCAGGACAACCCGTTACGCGGTTTGGGGTCCGGGTTATAGTAATTTGCCAGGAGACCATCGAAGAAGCTTTTGCAGCATCGACATTGAAAGGCCTGGCTCTTCCTCATCCAGATCCTCGTCCAATCAACCCGGGCCCGTTACTGCGGCAGATTGGCCAGAATCCACTTGGAATGTATCAGCATCCCCGAGCTATGTCTAGCAGACTCAAAAATTGTGCTTGTCACTAAAATCAGAGGTCAGGCGGCTGTCATTCCAAAGCAATATGCCATGAGTGGACGCAGCCTACTGCCAAACATCCTTTTTCTATCTTTTTCTCACACGATGCCACTGCGAGTTTCCGGCCCAGGCAAAGCAACATCACAAGATATCACAAGCACATTCTCAGAATTTCTCAGTCAAGCAAATTAGATCAAATGAGCAATTTTCATAAGTTTGCTCTGATTCGCAGCATCAATGTGCCGTGGTGCCCCATCGACCGTTCTGGCCTGGTGTCTGTCAGCACCACTATCAATCAGCAAGCGAGCAACTTCCACGTGGCAATTGTGAGTAGCGATCTGGAGCGGTGTTGTCCGAGTATCAGTTGTGGCTTTGTCAATCTCAACCCCAGCCTGGACCAGCAACTGAACAACTTTCAAATGGCCTCTCTGAGCCGCGATGTACAACGGTGTTGCTCCATCACGCATTCTAGCCTTGTTTCTGTCAGCAGCAGCCCTGATCAGAACATGAACAACTTTCGAATGTGCATTCTCAACTGCAGTGTGCAAGCGTGTTGCTCCTTCTCTCACTGTGGCTTTGTCGATCCCCAGCCATAACCAGCAATTCAACAACTTGCCAGTGCCCCCTTTGAGCAGCGATGTACATCGGTGTTGCCCCATCAACGGCTGTGGCTTTGCTTTTGTCAGCTCCAGCCGCGATCAGAGCATCAACTACTTCCTCATGTGCATTCTCATCTGCAACGTGCAAGGGTGTTGCTCCTGTGCTAGTTGTGGCTTTGTCGATCTCAACCCCAGCTTTGACCAGCAACTGAACAACTTCCAAATGCCGGACAAGAGAGGCGATATACAATGGTGTTGCCCCATCGCTGCTTCTGGCCTTGTTTATATCTGCACCAGCCTTAATGAGCAAACGAACAACTTCCACATGGCAGTGCAGAGAAGCAATGTACAACGGTGTTGCCCCATCAACCGTTGTGGCTTTGTTTTTGTCAGCTCCAACCCTGATCAGAAAATAAACTACTGACTGATGTGCATTCTGAACTGCAATGTGCAAGGGTGTTGATCCGGTGTCAGTCGTGGCTTTGTCGATCTCAACCCCGGCCTGGACCAGCAAGCGAACAACTAGCAAACGGTCCCTCTGAGCAGCGATGTACAAGGGCGTGGCTCCATCATGCGTTCTAGCTATGTTTCTGTCAGCCCCAGCCGTGATCAACGCATGAACTACTTCCCTATGTGCATTCTCAGCTGCAGTGTGCAAGGGTGCCGCCCCTTCTTCAGTTGTGGCCTTGCCGATCTCAACTCACGCCGTGACCAACAACTGAACAACTTGCCAGTACCCCCTCTCAGCAGCAATGTTGAACGGTGTTGCCCCATTGCGGCTTCTGGCCTTGTTTCTATCTGCGCCAGCCTCAATGAGCAAACGAACAACTTCCACATGACAATGCAGAGCGGCGATGTGCAACGGTGTTGCACCATCAACGGTTGTGGCCTTGTTTGTGTCAGCTCCAGCTGTGATCAGAAAATGAACAACTTCCCAATGCGCACGCTCAACTGCAATGTGCAATGGCGTTGCTCCTTTGTTAGTCGTGGCTTTGTCGATCTCAACCCCAGCCTTGACGAGCAACTGAAGAGTTGCAAATGGCCTCTTTGAGCAGCGATGTACAACGGTGTTGCTCCGTCACGCATTCTAGCGGTGTTTCTGTCAGCACCAGCCATGATCAGGACATGAACTACGTCCCTATGTGCATTCTCGACTGCGGTGTGCAAGGGTGTTGCGCCTTCAGTTGTGGCTTTGTTGATCTCAACCTCAGCCTGAACCAGCAATTGAACAACTTGCCAATGCCCTTTCTGAGCAGCGATGTACAACGGTGTTGCTTCATCATGCCTTCTGGCCTTGCATTTGTCCGCACCGCTATCAATCAGCAATCCAACAACTTCGGTATGGCCATTATCTGCTGCCATGAACAACGGCGTGACCTCCTGACCTCCTGATCTCCTGTGTCCGGGATATCTTTGAAGGCACCTGCTTCAAGCAGTAGCCGCGTAGGCTCGATGTGTCCATTTGCAGCAGCATGGTGCAACAGGGTGATGCCATCCGCAGTGAAGTTGGGGTTGCGAGGGCGCTGAAGCAACTCTTCAAGTACCATTGAATCATTGTCCCTGCAGGCAGATATCATTTGCTCGTATTCCCTGGATTCAGGAAGGCAAAGTTCCAACAGCAGCAGCTGGACTTTGACTCGTTGGGCTGTAAACACCTCATCATCTGAAATTTCTTGGAACCCATCTTCCGACAAGAACCTCTGCCGAAATCGTGGCACTCCATACCTTCATATTCATCCACAACGGCAAGCGTGCGACCTGATACCGCTGAGTAGACCGAGCACATTCGCTCTGCTAACACGGGCATCGTAGGTGCAAACCCACTAGCTACACTTTTTGATCCAAACATGCCTGCATTTGGTGGGTATATAAGTGACCCCAACGTCCCCAGCTTCTCATTTGGCACCGATTTCCTGAATTAGTGCTATTGGTGCTAGTGCCATCCCGAAAATATGATGGAACTAGAGAAAATCCTGCAGTTCACATTTTTGCAAGCGCTTACTCTTCACAGGTTGTCCTCCGTTTCTTTCTTCTTCGCAGCTGTCTCATGGAGGGACACTTTCCTGCAGGCATAAGGTGCATGACACGTTTTGCCTGATCTCATGCCTTCCTTATTTCCGAATATGGACATAGCCTCAGCTTTGTCTGAAAATAGGCTACCTCAACATACAAGTACCTCAACTTCAGTGGTTTATCTTGATTTTCCCTATGAAAAACCAGCTAAAACTGGTGCTTTCATAGCCCATTTTCAGCTACCTCTGTTGGAAAACCGCTGTGCATCCCGACGTGCCCAAGGCGGTGTCTTCACTGGAGAGGCCCATGCCGCCATGTTCTGAGACACGAAGTGCTTTGATTCAATGGAAAATTGATGTCAACCCATGGAAAAATGGGAAGTTAATGGTGTTTTAATGTGATATAACTGATATAACCATGTTCAATGGAAAATGGGATGTTCACTTGATCCACAAGATATCAACCAACAATAGTTATAATTATGGGATGTTGATGCGATACATATATATATATATAATTATAATATTATAATATATTATAATATACATAGGTATAATGACAACATTATATTTGGGTGTCTGAAAATGTGGTAATCCCCAAAAATGGTAAGTTTGAGTGTCTCAAGGACGATCTGATCCGATGGGGAATCCAAGCTCAAGGCTGGCCCAGCTCAAGAACACGGCTCGGAAGTCATCGATCTGCCAGGTGAAAAAACAGCAGGTGCTGGGAAGTCAAAAGGTCAAATGAATACTACTTGCAGTGTAAATGGATGTTCATCCAAAAGCCTTGGTAAATGAATGTTCATCCTCCAAAAAGCTGGTATTACTTAATTGGTATTACAGGTTTTAATACATCCCCACATGCAACGACCTTGCTTGGTGGATTCTTTGCAAAAGCATCCTTTGCTGCTTGACAGAAATTACAAGCCGTGGCAACATTCAATGGGATCCAAGCGGTACAGTTGACGTGGCAACTGCACCCTAGGAGGCCTCCTGCTTGGAAAACGAGATGGCTTCAAGTTGCTTTCGACTCTCTTCCTGGAAGCGCAAGTTTTAAAAGGCTTCGCATTCCCTTAAACATGGATATGAATGGATATGGGTCGAAATTTAGTGGCAGGCTGTGAATACTATTGGCATACTCTTAGTACTAATATATGACCATGGCTTGTAATTGGCATCCTATATGGTCTGTATATCAAGTATAACTATATAATATTATATAGTTATATAAATATGTTTGACAGGTTAAACAACCTCAAAGTGGCAGCAATAGCGCTTGTTTTGTTTGAGCCATACACACGAAGTAAGTAATGAATTATATTAGTATATACAGTGATATGCACAAGAAACACCCCCCGCCGCCCGCAGTTGCGCGGAGGACGGAAGATGTAGTCCGCCAGATGTGACCTGAGAGCGGAACAACATACAAGACATCACTGTACAATTCTACTTACATTACGTGCGCAGGAGTTCATAGCTCGGATGCATGAGGCAAAATGTGAGAAGTTCGGGTGCATAAACTTTTCAATCCAGGGCATGGCACGTGCTTGAAGAGATACAAAAGTGAAGTTGGCCTGGCTTCCGCCAAGGCATAGGAACATTACCATTCCTTTCATTTGCCTTTGGTTCGGAAACTACTGTATCAGGCTAACCTACACGGCATCTGTACACGTGCAACTACCGCAAAAGATCGGATGCTGATGTCAAACTCTCCTTGAATCAATTGGGAAAAGTTTTCAAGTTAATCAAGTTGGAATTTTATGTTTTGAAGACGTGTGCATTTCGATTGAACTGAATGACCATGGGTCAGCTTTCATCCAATCGGCCAAACCTTCCGGTAGGCATAAAATCATGGCACAAGATGTGAAACATCTACCACGACTCAAACTCTACCGTCCCATCATTGTAGGTGCGCTTGAAGTGCGGCTGGCCGTTGATCTCGCAGTACTCTTCAGCAATCACAACTGGTGCACGAGGCACTTGTCGTGGAGGTTCCGCTGCAGGAGCTGATCCAGAGGCCGCTTGAGCAGGGTCACCAGCAGCAGGAGCTGAGTCAGGCACAGGCGTTGCCGTTGAAGGTGGCTGCACCGGCTCTGGGGGCGCTGCCGAGGAGCTTGATGCCGTAGATCTTCCCCAAGGATCAGCTGTCCAACCTCTGCCAGAGTAGCCCTGATTCCAATTCCAACTTTGCCATTGGGCCTGCCCTCCCGAGCGGCTTGAATAAGATCCATACGAATCCCATTGTTGCCGTCGGCTCCATCCACTGCGACACTCAAAGGATTTGTGGCCATACTGACCGCACTTCCAGCACTCAATGGCCTGCTGAAAGATTGGACGCTGTTGCTGACCAAAACCCTTGCCTTTGCCCTTGGCTGGCTTCTGAATCGGGTCAAAGTGACGCCGGTATCCTTCTCGCCCTTCGCCAGTACCCGTCTTCGAGGACCTTGCCAGTGGAAACTCAGCCACATCTGACGCAGTGGCTTCATCCACGAAGGAGTGTTCTTCGCCCTTGATGTTATTGTATTGCTCCTTCCACTGCCTCTTCGCGAAATCGACCAGGTCGAAGAAGCAATCTTGGGCAGACGGTTGATCCACAGGCATCACTGAGCCTGACCAACCAAATAACATCGGCGTGGGTTCCCCCCTCGCTTTCAGCAAGTCCGCAGCAAGAACAGCAAATTGGGGGAGTGTGAACACTCGTGCATGATGTGCAACCATGGCTTCCTTGGTGACGTCCAACGGGAGTCGGATATCTCTGTTGAAGTCTGGCATGAAAATCAAACGAGTGCTGACACCTGTTCCCAGCTGCTTTTCTCGTTTCTCTCGGGTACGGCCGACATCAGGGGCAATGCATTTTGCCAAGTCCTCCAAGAACTGGCAACAATCTGGGGTAATCTGGCCGACCGCATTGTTAAACAAATAAAATGGGTCCTTCTCCATGCGGTCCTAGATCGATTTGAAGCCGAGCTTTGTGTATCTTCCCGCATGTGTCTGAGCAGCGTCTTTGAGATTTCCGAAATTGCTTCGTCCAGCTCGACGTTGATCTGCTCGAGTGCGGTCGGATACTCGCTGAGCTCGAGGCTGCTTCTCAAAATCGATTTTGTCCAGAGAAAACACCTTGTTGGTCTTCTTGGCCGAGATTTCCATCCGGCATACCTCTGTCGCAATTCTTCCATCCGACCAAGCAATCAGCCATTTGAAGCATGACTGACACTTGTGAGTGCCCTCAATGTTCCTCTCGCCGCAGAAGTGGCATCGGACCTGCTGCATCTCAATCTTCGTACTGTAGATGTAGTCTTCAGCATTTGTTGAGCGCTGGGCCTGCCCTCCCGGGCGGCTTCCTTTCCCTTTGCCCTTTCCTCGGCCCTTGCCTTTGCGAATGGTCTCTGCATTTGACAAGGCACCAAAGCAGGCCATCTTCAACGTCAACTTGTCCTCAAAGGGTCCTGAAGTTACTTCCTTCACGTCGACGAAGAAGTGGGGGAAGCTCTTCCGGAGAATCTGTCACTTGCATCTCACCAGGTCGAATGGACTTGCCGCTCATGAGGTACGCCTTCAAATTGTCTCTGGCATTGGCATATGGGCTCTTGGACAATGCCTCCCTCTTCGGAGTGTCCTGGTCACGATGGGTCTTCATCTTGTTGTTGTACCCGACACGAGTGATCTCGTAGGGGCGGTTGACCCAGGCAAACTCCCTGTTGATGGAATCATATGTGCATATGATGTTCTCATTGGATACCCAGTCGGGACTGATGATTGCTTCGTCTGTGCGAAACAATCGGCAGCCGCTTTGGACGATGAGCTCGGTGTCAAAGGCAATATAGTATTGCTTCCCGGCTCGCGTTCCCGCCAGCTTCTTGCCACCAACTGAGTCATCCCACGGGTGTGACGCGATAAAGAAATTGTGCGCCCTTCCCGTTCTTTGGGGCCAGCCACCTGGGATGAGACCATGCTCAACTATCTTTTCCATAGCAAGCCTGTCGCAGCTATGGTAGATAACCCTTGGAAGTGCAGCCAGCATCTCAGGCACAAGGTCTGGACGAAGATTGGTCCTGGGCAACTTGGGCGTGTCGAGGTCGGCCTTGGTAAAGGTTGGGTCCAAAGTAAACACTTGCTTCACCAGCGAGGAAATTTTGGCATTTTCCACGACGGCACGATTGTGTCCTTGGACAGCTCTGATGGCAACAACCTTCCATGGCAAACCCTTCCAGGTTGCATCAGGCAAATCGGGCTGAGCCACTTTCACCTGAAAGCGCCTGGTGTCACTGTTGCGCACGATGGACAGGACCTCACTAATCTTCGGGTGGGAGACGTAGTGGGCCATGGTCTTCATCACGGCCTCGAAATCCATCGACATATCCATGGGATCGATGTCTGGGCTGCGAGCACCATAGCTCAATGCGTGTCCCCTCAGAACATAAGATAACTTTGTGGAAAGAAATCTCAGTCGCCCTTGGCCGCAATACTCCTTGGGAATTCTGTTGGCCATGTCATTGGGGTCCAACCAAACTGCTCCTTCTTGGCGTTCCGTTGCTTCTTCCAACTTGCGAAGAGCTGCATCAGCTTCGACACTGAGTCGCGGCGCTTTCTGTCTGGGCATCGCCTTTGACTCCGGCGCCTTTTGCTTTTCACTCTTCGGCATTTTCTTTTCGGCCGGCTTTCCAACTGGCTTGTCAACCTCCACCTTCTTCTCAGACTTGGTCAGGTCGACAATGGCAGTCTTGTCAGCAGGCTGTTCGGACGAAGCAGAAGCCTCAGGAACCGCAGCATCAGTCGGCACACCCTCCCGGGCAGCATCAGCACCTTCCTTCTTCCCGGTGTCAACATCGATGGCAGTGGCTTCGGATCCACCAACCTCAGTCCAAGTTGAAACCCTGGAAGATGTCATGTCGCTGGGCTTGGATTCATCATCACCAACCACACTCCATGTTGAAATTCTCGATGAAGTCATGTCTCCCCCCTCCTTGTCGGCCTTGGCAAGTGCTTCTTTTGCAGCAGAATGGACAACGGCCGACGTTCCCGAAGGCTTCGCCTCAGTGGATGTGATCTCGATGATCTTGTTGAGATCTTCAACCTCTTTGGCTCTTTCCTCCGAGATTTCATCTTCCTTGACCTTCTCGTCATGGGGATTGACAATGATCTTCTCGTCAAGGATCACGTCCCACTCATCAAACTCGGGAACAACCTCAACATCGTCATCGACATCAGTGTTCTCCGGGTTGATCTCGATCGATTCAATGGTCGTAGTTGAGAAACCATCAGCAACGGCCTGATTCAAATCTTCTTGAAGGTATTGTCGGGCTCTGACTTCTTCGGTTTCGTAGTCCTCGATCGATGGGTCAATGGGGACGATGGAGCTGATCTCTTCATCAGTAAAAGCAGTGGGCATCGGCCTTCCCTCCCGGGTGGCTTCCTCGTTCGCCTCAAGAATTCCTGCATGGACCCACATGGGGATCTCCTCATCTGCCTCGTCAAAGACCTGGGCAGGGGTTGCCGTTTTCTTCTCGGTGGAGATGGCTTCCATGACTTCCTGAGTGCCGAGCAAAGCCAGACGGAACTGAACCATCGTTGGGAAGAGATGGACCGCGGCCACACGGTCTTGCTCGTTGCTGATGAACTCCCTCACAAAGTACTTGAGTTCGTCCTTCTTCGACATGAGCTCAACATATTTGAGGTGGAAGGTGATGGCACCTCTCAAGAAGCGGTAGACCAGTTTCCGATTGAATTGGTGGTCATGAAGGTGGTAATTGTCGTATTTTCCACCCTGAGCGAGCATAGTGGAGTTCACACATTGGATGCCACGCTCTGCCAGCCAATTGATGTGCTTGCCCATCTCACGGTTGTAAGATGGCGGCAATGAGTATCCGGAATGGTCACCGTTCCCGATGACTTGCACAGACATGACACGGGGGTCCTTGGAAATCTCAACAAGTCCTTCCAACGATCGCTGCACCTTCTTGTACTGCTTGTCCACATACTCGGCAGCGACCTTCCGGTCGGCTTCAGATCTCGTGAGATTTGTTTGGTGAATCCATGTA